ATGGGGCCAAAGCAAGAACTGGGTGACCTTTTACTCCCCTCCCTCCACCCCCACATTTATTCACTCAAACTGGCCACCAGCCCATTCAATCACCCAAGGGAATGTAAAAGCAGTGAGCTTTCAGATCTTTCAGACCATACCACAAGCCCAAAACCCAAAGGGCAAAATTAAGCTGCTTAATAGAAATATGAAAACACAGGGCAGCAACTCACATGAGAGCCCATAAAGAAACCTAAGATCTGGGGTCAATTCTCATGAGTGACACTTGAAAAAGAGGTTCAGCTCAAAATTTCCTCAGACCTAAGGAGGAAAAGATCTTGAGTTGACTGGCCCCTCTCTCATGGAGGGCTGGTTGAATCTTCCCCAAGGGAAATTATAGGACAGGGATGGTGCCAGAAAGAGATAGGGATGGGTGATAAGACACTTCCCGACAACCAGCACAACTTCCCAACTCTCAGCTCCCCCTGCAAGAGCCCTCAAAGCTGTGAGGAGGAGCAAGAGATCTTCCAAGGCAGTACCTCCTGTCACAGAGAGGTTCTTGGAAACTGTGACTTGAAGCAAAACAACGTACAACAAAACCAATTTGACCACAGGCTCATTGATATAAACCAGAGTTAAGTTTCTAGGGCATATTTCTGGTCACAAAAACATCACCAAACTTCTAAAAAAGACCCAAAATACTAACATTCAACAGTAATGTGAATCATTTATCCATTTGTGTTCCAACCTGCTTATTTCAGTTCAGCATGTGGGGTGGCCAGAGACTATCACCGCAACTCGGGGTAAAGTGGGAACCCAGCCTGCACAGGACGCCCTCCCACTCACACCCACGCTCACTGGGGCAGTTTAGACACGTCTATTACCCCAATGCGCCCTTCCTGGGATGTGGAAGCCTGAGTACCAGAGAACATGCAAATACCACACAGACAGCAGACCAGGCAGGAAACAGATTATTTCTTTCCTTTTAAAGATTATAATGAAACAATGGTGAATGAAACAAGAGTTATTCAGGGACCTGCTATTGGTACTATGTATATTATGGGGCTCTAAGCCTGGTCCCAGAGACCAACCAAGCAGAAATCCTGGCCTCCAAAATGCAGTCTGGGGACCTCCCTGGTGGCACAGGGGTTGAGACTCAGTATCAATGCCACTGCCAGAGTTCAATCCCCGGCCAGGGAATTAACCCACACTGCGCAGCAGACCTCTCCTGCCTTGCCCGCTGCTCCCCTCAGCAGTGTATTTCAGTAGATCCACCTGTTCAGCTCCCCAATCTGTCTCTGGTGAGTCCTCTCTCCCCACACCTCTGGCCTACACCCCAGTTCTTGTATGTATACATGCACAAATAAGTAAATGAAAATCTTTTTTAAAAAAATGCAGCCTGTGTTACAACGATGAACCTTGGGACATTACGCTTGGTGAGATAAGCCAGACTCAGAAGCAGAAACATTACATGATTCCTCTTACACATGGTACCTAGAGTAGTCCAGTCACAGAGACAGAAAGGAGAATGGTGGTTGTCAGGGACTGAGTGGGTGAAATGGGGAGCCACTGTTCACTGGGTACAGAGTTTCAGTTTGGAGAAATGAAGGAATGGAGATGAAAGCTGGTGATGGTTGGGCAAGGTGAATGAATGATTGTACTTAATGCCTCTGAACTGCACATTTAAATACAGTTGCAGTGGGTTCGGAGGGTAAATTTTACACGATGTATATTTTATCACAATAAAAAAAAAAAAAGTACATATCCAGAGTCCTCTGTGATGCCCCCGAGCCTTTCCTCAATCAGCTCCTTGGGCTTTCCCAATTCTCTTGCCACCACACTTGTGATGTTATCGGCAAGGTCCCTCTCGCCAGTGCTGCTGCCTCTGCCAGCATCCCTGATGTCACTCCCCTCTGAATACATACATGATATATGTGTACATTCTTCTCTCCCGTTGCCTTGGAAGCTCCCAGATGGCAAGGACCACATTCTCCCTGTGTAGCAAACATGGTACAAAGGGAATGGTCTGCACGAGGTGGCTTCACCCACCAATGGGGCCTGGGTATACAGAGCTGGGAGGACCTCTGGGCCAATCCAGTCATGCTTCTCAAGCATGAGGCAGTGGAGAGAACACCATGGTCCAGAAAAATAGCTCACATTCTGCTCTGCATTCCCACAGGAGCCAGGAATTCCATTTTTGTCATTTCTAACTATACCGTTACCTGTAGGTGGGCAGCTCTGCCATGGCTGATAGAAGAGCCCACCAGAGACCCTGTGAGAAGCATGCTGTCACTATGGCTGGCACACAGCTGTGTGTGGTTATTTCTGTCTGCTCCTTCAAACACCAGTGCCCTCAATTCAGAAATGAGAGCCCACTCATCCCAAGGTTTCTGAAACAATTAGATCTGGGACCCCACATCTGCTATTGCTGCTATGGAAAATTAGGGTGACTTTCACTCCCTCCCCACACTGTCATTTTCCTCATTGTTCCAGCACTGTCCTAACCAGCAGGCTCCACAGCCATCTAAAGAATATCAGTAAACAATCCAGATAGTGACATAGGACTGAGCCAGCACAGGATGCCTCACTCCCCACCAGTCACAATCCTCAAAGGAGAGTGCTGGGTGCAGAGTTTAAAGGCTCCCAGAGTTAAAACAACCAAGAATTTAAAAACTTAATAGGAGAGGGCCCCCCTAGCGGTGCAGGGTTGTTAAAGTCTCAGTACTATCAAGCTAGCCCAGGCACTGAGGCCTGAGTTTGATCCCTGCCAGGGAGCTAACCCACATGGCGCAGCAGACCTCTGCTGCCTAGCCCACTGCTCCCTTCAACAGTATATTTCAGTGGTTCCACTTGTTCTGCATCCTATGCTGTTTCTGGTGAATCCTCTCACTCCCTCACACCTCTGGCCTACACCCCAGTTCTACTATGCATAGATAAATAAATCTTTAAAAAAACAAACTTAAGGGCCTCCCCGGTGTCGCAGCGGTTGAGCGCTGGGTTGCGATGCTGCCTGCAGCCTCTGCAGCACCGGTTCAATCCCCGGCTTCTCCCCGGCCACAGGAGGAGGGTCCCGCATGGCGCGCAAACCTCTCCTGCCGCCCGCTGCTCCCCTCAGCAGTGTGCTTCGGTCCTTCTGCCTGCTCTGCTCCCCGCTCTGGCTCTGGTGAATTCTCTCACCCTCCCGCGCTTCTGACTGTACCCAGTGCTTGTATAAATAAATAAATAAACAAACAAATAAAATAAATCTTAAAAAAAAAAACTTAATAGGAGAGAGAATCTGGGACCTTGAGGACATTCAGAAAAGGATCCAACAAAATCCTAGCAGTCAGTCCAAGATGTACTATTAACTGCTTTTACTGAGAAACTATGCTGTGTCATACATGGAGCCGGGGGGCTGTTGATGTGGGGGCATGACCATGTCTACATAGGCAAAGGAAAAGCAAGCCAGAGAGCAGAGAGAGGACCTACGGGGCGGAACACTGAAACATATCCCATGCCATCAAATCTCACTTTCTGGAAACTCAGAATTCTCCACCGGCAAAAAAACATCATTTCAGACGACAGGTCTCCACAAAACCCTCTCATTTTCTTCTTTATTAATAACATTCTCCCACACCATGGCACTCAAGCTGGCTCACTTGGCCGACAGCTGGCCAGACAAGGCTGATGCTCTGTGACCACAGGGCAATGCTCCAGATCCCAGATGAGCTGCTATGCTTGCAAAGCAGGCTTCTGAACACGACAGCCTTCCACCCCCATGGGGGACTTAGGGGATGCAGCTGCACCAGGCCGCAGGTCCGAGGAGCATGCCACAGCCAACCTCAGCTGCAAATAGAAGATCAGAAACTAGATGTACCTACAACAAACAGGACACAGTGCCGATCACAAAAAGATCTCTGGACAGAGCCAAAAATAGCCTTAGTTGTTTTAAGAGGATTCTGACCAACCAAGCACATACAACTCCATCAGCAGAAAAAGAAAAATCAATGGAGCAGAAAAGATCAGCCCAACAGGGACCGGCACTCTAAGAGACTCCTGACAGTCTCACAACCCCCAGCCCAGTCAAACCCCATGCCCCGCTCCCCACCATTTCCTTACCCCAATTAACAACTGTGCCTGGATCTCAAAGCCTGTTCCCATCACCCAAACACCTACTGGTATTTGCACACAGTCCAGAAGTTACATACACCCCATAGGTTTAACCTCAGGGCCTTCGAGGAGTCAGACCATGGACTGGGACTGAAAATAAGCACCGGTAGGTGCTCATCCCGGGCATGACAAGGAGGCAGGGGTGCACCTAAGGATCAGAAAATGGAGTTGGGGTAAGATACACGGAGGTCTCTGTGGGTGAGTAATGATGGATGAAGTCTTCATCAAAGCCAGGAGATTGGATCGGGTGCGGCTCTGTTGTAATCAGGATAAAATCTTCCCCCTGTCAGTTTTTAGCGGCATTGAGTCAGAATGACTGTCCTTCACTTCCTTCTAATTCATACTTTCACCTGCTCTGACTTGCAAGTGAACCCGACACTTCTATGGCCTGCGAGCAGCTAGCACATCTTGGGTTCCCCAAACAAGTCAGATGATCCTTCCAGGACAGGAACTGCTGGGAGGATGGAAATGCCCAAAACACATCAATCTCTGCTGAAAGTATGTCCTTTAGGTGACTGAAGGTGACCCAGTTTACACCATCCTCATGCCCAGCATGGGGGAATCAGAGGGCACTGAGATTCTGGCTCGGGGTATCCTGGTCCCGATTCACAGAGAGTGAGCCTAAGCAAGCCACCCTTACATCACACACACCTCCCAACCACACCCCATCCCAAACACTGGGAATCTGCACCCAGGAGGAAAGGGAGGATGGGCAGGATCAGTGTGAATCCTTCTCTTCACAACAGTACTTGAATATTACTCAGTTTAAGTAGTTAGTCCTTCCCAAATGACTTCCCCTTTTCTATTCCCTACCCCTTCAATGGTGTCCAGCAGGACGCAGGTGTCTCACCCAAGGAGACAAAAGTACCCACCTGCATCTCCATGGAAGGTACCTTCCTGAGGCAGCCTGCCTGACAAGCTGTCCCCATCACTGGGCCAGATCTGCCCCGTCTTGCGGACGCCCACGATGGTGGCCTCTGACACCACAACCTGGCCCTGACGGTGCCGCTTCTGGCACTGAGGCGTGGGGGGGCTACTGCTGTCGAAGGACTGTTGCGAGTTCTGCGAGGGCGAGCGGCTCTTGTCCCGGAACATGCGGTAGGTAGTGGGGCTTGGGGACACGCGGCTGGACTGGCCAGAGGAGAAGTCCTCCTCGCTGGAGGTCAGGTTCTCGTTGGAGCTGCAGTCCGGAGTGTAGCCACCTCCGCTGTCCTCGAAGCTCCGAGGGGAGTAGGACCGACGGGGCCAGGTAAGGCGCTTCTCCTGCTCGGAGGTGCTCTGGCTACGCAGGAGCGGGCCCTTGCCCTCCCCCTCCCCCATCATGCCCCCGACATAGATGCTCTGGTAGGGCTGGTACTCCAGCGGCGGCCACGGGGGCCTGCTGCCACCATTGGCGTTGATCAGGTTGTCCTTCAGGAAGCGGGGGTTCAGCTCAGCGTCCTCATAGTCACCGTCGAGGCCGCAGCTGCTCTCCGAGGGGCGCCCCCGGTAAGAGGACCTGGGCACATCCCCGAGAGCAGGCCCGGGGCCGCCGCCGTGCTGGGACTTCTTGCGCTCCATCTGCATGGCCTGGCTGCCCAGGGAGCTGATTCGGTCAGACACCTCTTTGTCGTTGACCTTCACGAGGCCGCGTTCGTGGTGAAACTCGACGTTCACATAGAAGGGTTTTTCGGCTTCGGACGCCCCGGACTGGCCGTGGCCCTTGCGGATCCTTTCAAAGTTGGACCTGAGCGCCGCCACGCTGGTGGGGTGGCCCCGGTCCTCCCGGTCCGCGGGCGCATTGGTGGCCGCGGGCCTGCGGGCGGCCGCGGGCCTGGGCTTGCCGGGCGACCCCTCTCCGTCCGGCCGGGTTTCGGGCTCCTCGGCCCGCGGCGGGTCCGCGCTATCAGCTGGCGCGGGCTGGGGGCGCGGCGCGGGCGCGCGCGGCTCCGCGTCGCCGTCGGGGGGCTGCGCCGCGCGCCTGAAGCCCCAGCGCTGGCGGTCGTAGCTCTTCTTCTCCTTGGCCAGCAGCGTCTGCAGGTAGATCATACGGAAGCGTTCCTGGTTCACCTCCTGCTCCAGGCGCCGGATGGAGGCCTTGCAGCGCTCCAGTTCCTGCTCGATGTCGCCCACCGAGCGCAGTTCCATGCGCGGCGGCTCCGAGTCCGGGAACTGCGCCTTCCACGCCTCGGCGAAGCCCACCGGGTCCACCATGGCGCGGCCGGCCTCACCTGCGCCGCCCGACTGCGCGCGGGGCCCGCCTCAGCGGAGGCGCGGTGCCCTCGCCAGGCCCGGCCCGGGACGCCGGGCGGCCCCCATGGCCCGGCGCGGCGGCTCCGGCGGCGGCACCAGGCGAACAATGCCCGCCCCTCCCGGGCGCAGGTGAGCCGCGGGCTGCGCTCCCCCGGCGGCTCGGAGCGCGGGGCGGGGCGCGCGCGGTGGGCGGGCGCGCGCGAGGGCGGGGCGGGGGGAGCGGGGCGCGGGGCTGCGCGCGCCGCTATTGTGTGCGGGGCCGCTGCGCGCCGCGCGGGGCAGGCGCTGCCCTCCCCTCGGCGGGGCGCCGCTAGCCCATGGCCGCCGCCCGCGCGCTCCTCTCCCCCGGCTCTCGCGGCGCCCCGCGTCCCAGCCGCCGCCTCCCCCGGCGCGGCGCTCCGCCGGGCCGCCCCTCGCCGCACTCCCGCCCGGCCCGCACCCGGCGCCGCAGGAAGGGGAGGGCCAGGGGGCGGTGGCCGCGGCGCGGCTGACGGAGCCGGGCGGGCCTCTTAAAGGGGCCGCGCCGCGGGCGCCTGGCGGGGAGGCCTAGAGGCCGCACCCCCCAGGCGCTGCCGCCCTCGCTGCGTCCCCGAGATTGGGGAAACTGAGGCCCGACGGCTGCAAAGCCGGCGTTTCATGGCGGAGGCCCTGGGAAGTTCTGCACACCTGGAACTGGAGCACCTGGATCCGCATTTGCCTGCAGACCGGCACTCACCGGCTTCTGGACCGGGCGATCCAGAGGCCACCCAGCGGGGCGCACAGGTCACCCAGCAAAGTATGAAGCCCCATGCCAAGTGGCCAGTGTCAGCTGTCCCTCTGTACCCACGGACCCCAGGGATGGGGCTGGGGGCAGTGCTGGGCCATGAAGCAACAGACAAAACCGTAGGGTTGTGTCACAGAAGTAATGGGAATTTCTCAACATCCATATCTCTCTTCCTGTTGTCCTGAGCCTCGTTTGTTTGTCTGCTGGCCTCCTTCGCTGGAGGCCACTGTAGTTTTTCCGGTCTTGTCTGACTTTGAAGTTCCCTCTGTTTATCTCCCTCTAGGGTCTCTCATGCCTCAGGTGTTACCCACAAGCCTGGGCAGAAGACAGGACAGCCCAGAGCCAGCGATGAGACAGTCTATATCATAGTCCAGGGAAGCCCCAAGAGCTTAGCTGCTCAGCAGACGGGAGGGGCACTATATGGGGTCTGATGGGTACAAAATGAAAATACCCAACCAGCCTACTGAGTGAGGGGGAAAGGAAACAGAATTTGTCAACCAATGAACTGCCTTTGAGTGCTGACCAACTCTGCCTCCCTGAGCAGGGATTTCCTGGGCATTGAAATGAGAACAAGGATACCTTCCCATGAGGGCTATTTTGTCCCTGCGTGAATGTGAAGAGTCATCAAGTCCTCCCTGCAGTTCCAGTGCCACCCAGACCAGAACAGAAGCCTATACAGTAATCCAGGGTAACAGAGCTCAGGACTAGGGTCTAGGCTGGACTGGCTCAAGTTCAGGCCTCCCTCACACCAGACTTTGTGACCTTGGCAATTCCCTTCCCCTTTCTGAGCCACAGTGATTGCCTCATACATGAAATGTGAGTGCAACTGTGTAAAGCACCCAGGAGGGGCAAACATAAAACTCACACCCCAATAAATGGCACGTGGGTTTCCTTCCATTACTGCCTGTCAACAGAGGTGCCCTGGGAGAAGCCCTGGAAAACCCTTGGGGCCCCAACTTCCAGACACTTCCTGACACAGCTCACGCCTGCCCTCTGCAGGTCTCTTCAACCTCCTGCCTTTCCCCTTGTTTCCTGGGACCCAATCGCTTGAGATCCCCCACAAAGCAGGCAGGACCAGTGTAAAACCCATTTTACAGGTGAGGAAACAAGGAGTTGATGCTCTGGCTTTGGGGCGAGCAAAATGAGGCTGAAATCCCAGCAATGCTAACATCACTGGACCTCTTCTTTAAATGAATATAATCCTGACCTCACAGGGTCTGGCATAAAGCAGCTCATCAGTATTAGCTGCCTTGCCTAAATGACCTGCTTAAGTCACCCAACGAGAAGTCAGGCAGAGGGCCTCCCTGGTGGCGCAGGCGGTTGAGCGCAGCGCTGTGAAGCTGTCCGCAGTCTCTGCAGTGCCGGTTCAATCCCTGCCGGCCTCAGAGCAACCCACATGGCAAGCAGACCTCTTCTGTCTTGCCCGCTGCTCCCCTCAGCAGTGCATTTCATCAATCTGCCTGTTCTGTTCCCCCCCTCTGTCTCTGGTGAATCCTCTCATCCTCCCACGCATCTAGCCTGTACCCCAGTTCTTGTTTAAATAAAATAAATCTTTAAAAAAAAAAAGAAAAAGAGAAGTCAGGCAGAACTAGAATGTAGGACACTGACCCCCATTCCCTGGCAGTAGAGAGAATCCACAAAGCACAAACTGCTTTTTCCCCTGCTAATCAGCCCATTTAGTTTCCAAGGGTAACTGTGGACAATTACTCAAGGACAGTATCATTAGCTGCCTGGGAAATAAAGGGGTATTTCGGAGGGGAGTTTTATCTGTCAGGGAGATGTCCCTTTCTCTGGTTATCGGGCCCCAATTCAGACCCACCTTGACTATGTTATACGTAAGTAAACTTGCTTCAGAAGCTCTGTTTAGTGTGGGTTGGCAGGCTCTGTTCTCATGACATAGCAAATGGCTTGTTGCCAGGCACAAGGACATAGCAAGATAGTGGCTCTCTCTGCCATGGGGCAGCTTCTGGCCCCAAGGACACTCCGCCCATCCTCCCGGAAAGTCTCCCACACTGGGACTCTGGTCTTTCCTACAGAGATTTCTTATCATCCGTTCCTCCCAAGGAAGGGAAGAAGGAGTAGGAACAAGGGGTCCAGACACATAACACTCTGTAACACCTTCTCCCCAGCTAGATCTAAACTACCAAGGACTTTGCAGAGGCAGCATGCTGTGCAAGGATCCAGAGGCAGAGGAAGGGGGGAGGGCTTCCTGAGGGAGGTGACATCTAATTTGGTCTGAAGGACAAGGAACAGGAAGGTAAAGAAAGAGCAAAGATGGAGTTCTAGGGTGTTTGAAGAACAGCTGGGTTAGAAAAGAGGCTGGTGTAGGAGGCTAAAGGTGACATTGAAGGAGGGAGTTAGGAAATGGGTATAGGCAGTCAGTTAGGAACAGGTTGCCCCAAGGCCCTAAGTCCACTTACCAGCCTGACTGAGAAACACTTGGTTGGAACCAGGAGGGCACTCTTCCCCAAGACCTAGGTTCATTTATCAGTCTGATTGGAGAAAAATCCCAGACAAGAGGTGCTCCCCTACCAATACAGTAAAGAGTAGAATGTTCCGAACACCAACATAAGAACACAATGCTAAAGCACATGGACCAAAGCTAGTTTTGGAAAGCTAGGCCAGGTAACATGAGCAAGCTCAGTGAGCCTCAGTAGCCTGGAAGAACCCTGAAAACTCAGTGGACCTCAGTAGCCCAGCCAATCAGCAAGAGACACAACGAGAAGACACCCAAAAGCCTCTGCACTCAGAGGCTAGGCAGGGCCCTGCAGGCTGATAAAAAGTCTGGGTTTTATTCTAAATGCAAGGAAATATCACTGTAAGTTTCTAAGCCTGAACTGTCTTATAGAACTTTCTGCCATGATGACATGTGCTATGCTAAGTAATATGGCAGCCACTAGCTTCACCATGGGACTACCAGAATGTGGTCACAGAAACTGAAGAATTTTCACTTTGATTTAGGCAACGTTTTTTGAGGTAACATTGGTTTAGAACATGGTATATAAGGTTCATGTGTACAGCATTATAATTCAACACCTGCATACGCCATATCACGATCACCAATAAGAGCTCCGGTTTCCATCTACCATTATGCAGTTGACCACCTTTACTCATGTCACCCCCCCACCAAACCCCTTCCCCTCTGGTAACTAGCAAGGTGTTCCTTGTATCTAAGAGTTTCTTTTTGTTTTGTTCTGTTTATTTCTTTGCTTCATTTCTTCATATTCCAAATGTGAGTAAAATCATTGGTCTTTCTCCCTCCATCTGATTTATTTCATTTAACATAGTACCTTCAAGGTCCATCACGCTGTCACAGATGGCAAAATTTCATCTTTTTTATAGCTAAGTACTATTTCATTCTATTGTACAGGGTGGGGGGCACACACCACATTTTCTTTGTCCATTCACTACTATGGACACTTAGGTTGTTTTCATATCTTGACTATTGTAAATAATGTTGAAATGAACTTTGGTTTACTTTGATTTAGTTGTAATGAATTCAAATTCAAATAGCTCTAGTAGTTACTATAAGCAATAGAGTGACTTGTTCAGATTTGTTGTGTGGGCAGTTTGGGGGTGGGAGTGGGGCAAGTGTTGAAGGGCTGGTCCAGGTTGAAGGGGGGCATTGATGACCCAGACTCAGGTAGAAGCAAAGCAATGGAGAGAAGGGGTCGAATTCTGGGTCTATTGTGGACTTGTAGATGGATTGGATGTGGGGGATGAAAAAGGGGTAGCTATGAGGTGGGTAGTGGATGCTGATTTCAACAGGGAAGCCAGGTGCCCATGTGAGGCTTCAGGTGCCCATAGCCTTTCCCAAGGAGGAGTGAGAGTCTAAGGAATGGTCCAGACTAAAGACAGAAATGGGAGTGGTGTTAATGAACGGCTATTATTTCTGGGCATAGGACTGAAAACTCACCCCCAGTCCCTCAGTAGACAGGTTGGGAACAGACAGAAACTGGACTAGGAGGGAAGTAGAGTCAGAGAGATGGAGAGAGACTGTCTAGGAAATAATAGGAACCCAGGAGTACTGAGGGGAGCAGATCCAGTCAAGAGGGTAGGGGCCCCTTATCTCTGTTGCTGGGCTGTCAGGTAGAAGTACTCTGGGTCTGATATCATCAAGCCAGCAGAGCTGAGGTGGCATTGGAGCCCAGCTACACAGCTAGAAGCTGATGGACTGTGAGATCTGGCCCCAGGGAGCCTCCCAGTGGGTTCAACAGGCAGAGAGGACATTACCAAG